TTTTTTAAAATAATTTAATAATATTATATAAATTATTAAATATTTATAATTTTTAATTAAAATTATTATATTTTTTATTTTTATATTTTTATTTATTATTATAATATAATTTCGATAAAATAATTAAAACTTTAAAAATTAATAAATTTATAAAAATTAATTAATATAATAAAATATATTTAAATTTATTACCTTATAAAAATTTAATTTTAATTAAATAAAATATATAAACACCTTAAATTAAATATTTTCGTAATTATAAAATAATAATTTAAATTATTAAAAACTTTTTAAAAATTTTATATTATAAAAAAATAAAATAAATTTATTATTAAGAAAATATAAATATTTTAATAAATATTATAAATTTAATATTATTTTTTAAACCCCTTTAATTTACATTACCGCATAATTATTATAATAAAATAAAAGATATAAACCGTAATAATAATTAATTATAATATTTATATATTATTATTAAATTTAATAATAAAAAAACTTATTATTATTTAAATTTTTTAATAATATAAAAATTATATTTATTATAAAAATTTATTAATATTTTTATTAAATTTTTTATATTATTTTTAATAAATTAAAATTATATTTTTATTATAAAAATTTTATATATAATTTAATAATATATTTTATTATTAACTTTTAAAAAAATTATTTTATAAATTTTAAAATAAATATAAATTAATTTTAAAAAGTTAAAATTAATAAATTTAAAATAATTTATTATTTAATTTTAAAAATTATTTTTAAAAATTTTTTAAAAATAATCGTTAAATAAAATATTATTATAATATTCGAAAATTTTAATAAATATAAATATTAATATTTTTTTAACGTTTTAAAAATCTTTTATAAATTTTAAAAAATTTACATAATTACTTTTATATTTAAAATTAATATAATTAATAATAATTTTTATTATTTTAAATAATTAAATAAATAGTAAAAATATATAAAAATAAAATTAATAATTAATAATAAAAATATTAAAAAAAAAAATTTTTTATACGTAATAAACGTAAATTATTATTATATAATATTTAACGTATATAACGTTTAAAAATTATTTATTAATTATTATAATTAAATAATTTTAAAATAATTTTAAATATTTTAAAAATAAATATATTTAACCTTTTTTATTTTAAATATTTTAAAAATAAATATATTTATTTTTAATAAAATTTTTAATTATTTATAATTATTTAATTAATTATTAATTAATATTAAAAAAATAAGGTTTATATATAAAAAACGATATTTAAAAATAAAGGTATTTTTAAAAATAATATATTTAATATTATATAAAAAAAGATTAATTACGTGGTTAATTACTTTATAAAAGTATATAAATGTTAATTAAAGTTAATAAGCCTTATTGCCACACCGGATAACCCCGCGTATAAGTTAACCAATAAGGATTACTTATTAATAATATCCCAACAAATCCTCTTAATCATTTTGCAGTTAGCGTTCAACTGTTGAACAATTAAACCATCCTTTTGGTATCCATTCATGAGTCCTTACAGGTCCCTTTGACCATATTGTTCTAGGGTAATTGATAATATAATTGTAAGCCAACAGGTAAACGAAATAACATACGCCGCGAAGATTAATGTATCTATGTTCATCCGCCGTATTTCATGATAAAATGGAAAATTTTCGGAGTTAACTATCAGAGATTGTGATAACTTGGTATTTCAGCATTTTACTCGCCGGTTTATACAACTTAGCAAGGCACGTTAATTCGGAATAGGATGGTGAAAAAGGCATGGTAAACTTTACTCATTCTGAAACAATCAGATAATAGTAGATTTTCCTTATAATCCATTGTCTAATACACTAAATGAAATATCTGCAAAACAAACTCTTCATGTATGCTCGGAGGCTTTTGTCCTAATTGTATATGTCCCTTCAACAACCCTTTTATCTAGAGAGCATGGATATCTAAGCGACAGAACTATATCTTGAAAGCATCTCGTCTAGTATCATTATTGATATGCTCCATATATAGATTAAGGGCATTTTCCCGTGCTTACCGACAGCTGCAGCGAATATTAATAGTACGTCGAGTCTTACCCTATCGTTTCTGATAGTGGTGTAGGATACCTGTCTGATTGGGAATAGAATGAAGTTGCAAGAAAGACCAAATAAATAGCCAAAGCCTCAGAAGGTAACAAGCGATTGCTGGTACGCGTATTATACGGAGAATACTAAACGACATTTACTAATAACAACCTGGGAAATAAACCTAACTCAAGTACAACGAGAACTCGCTATGGGACCGAGCGGCATTGTAAAAAAGTCTGGGAGCCCATATGGCAGCAGCTCCGGGAAATTGCGCAGTAGATGTCTCATTTGGGTGTGCAACGCTGCCGGTTGTAGACGCGAGGCTGCTCGGGATAGTCAATATTGCGGCAGACACAAACAAGCTATCATAGATCGGCAGCTAGGAAGACCTCAATATCCTAAAAGAGAAAAGGTATGTATATCCCATTCTCATGACTCAATCCTCAGTTCGTATCATCGCACGTTGAAAATTCATTTCCCTCAACAAGCCCAGACCCTCTCTTCCGCACACAGGAAATATCCGCTAACTTCTCCCAGTGTCAAACCCGCGGAGACGAACTGCCGCCTCCCTACAGTTTCCATCAAACGGCTGATCAGAACCAAGAAAGAACTGGTATCGTAGCCGAAGAGGTCGCGGGAAAACCCGACCAACAGAAAACCAATGGTGATGCTCGGACTGTTATGAACGGGAAAACTGATCTCCCACAGAGCCCAATACATCAGTATCATAGGAATAACGATACCTACAGCTACGTCGGCCCCGGATTCAAATATCAGGGGAACGAATTCAAATACCAGGAGTACGAAAATATTTCTCTTAACCCTCTATTTCAATTTCCTGAGAGTAATTGCAGAGGTATGCCAACTGGTTTTACCTACAACGTTCCATATGATAGAAATTCCGGCAACGGAAGCGATGCTAATCCTGTATTAAACTATGACGAGGAGGAGAGTCTCTTTGTCAGCCAAGAGCCTCAAAGTCCTGAGAGTAATCAAGGTGGTGAGATAATTACCCCTATACTTGACAATAACGCCAACGATCCCACCCCCGTAGCTGAAAATGAGAGCGAGATTACCCCCGTCAGTTCTCAGCCTCAATCCGCCGAGAAGAAGCGCGAGGTCGAAGTGATTGATCTTACCTACAGCCCGCCACCTCAGCATCTTGAGCATAGCAGCGGCAGCGACGTCATCCCCACGTCCGAATATCAGAAGAAGAAGAACAAGATCTCGATTACTGATGCCGTATTTGAACATCGAGGTAATGAGACCATAGCCACTACCCCTTCACTCGGATTCAGCGGACTTAACATTAGGGACACCCCCATACCTCAACATCGGGAGAACCAAAGCACAATCAGCAATCTTATGGTTGTTTTCAACGGCCATCCCATCAACAACACTGTCCCTATATATAAATCTCGTGGGATCCAGAGTACAGTTGCTAGCCCTGTACCTAATATACCTCAACATAATCAATACGACAATGGCTTCACCCGCATGAAGATGTCGTTGTCGTATATCTGCCATTAGATCGGATCCCTACGAATGAGATATAGTCGGGTGTGGTGCGGCGATGGGTACCTTAGGTAGGTAAATAAAATGGAATTAGCTGTAATCTACACTGCTAAACATAGAGGCATGTGACTGCATTTACTTTGTAAACATAGAGTGATAAGAATGTTGTGTGTCTCGAGGGTTGCTTCCACTGGCTATTATGGGGTGGACCTCCTGGGTATGGGAATAATTTCTGTCCCTTGCTAGACCCTAGACCTTAGGTACTTGAAGCTGTGAAGGTCAGCGACTTTACATGATGAGAGCACCTTTTTTTCTAGATATCCCATCAAAGAGTTTAATAGCGTGCGTGCAAAATGCTTAGTAAGCGCAGCCCTTGTAAAACCGCTAGTCGAGAGGGGAGGAAGTAAATCGTAATCTTCTGCATTCATTCGAATAAACTGGGTACCAAAAGCAGCTGGGTACAGGCGCTTCTAATGGTAAAAGCAGTGCTCAGACCACCAAAGTTCTCCCTTATCCAATTTAATACCGCTTCCTCTCCTTGCCGCGCGTATTCTGCCTCCAAAGACATATAACACTCTTCGACTCGCACCACTTCTTCACATCGATAGGCGAGACCTCACCGTCATACCCTGTCTCGCTCAACGCCCCGGCATTCAACCAAGCAGCCAGATCCTCCAAGATGATCGGGTCATAGAGCAGCATCTTCTCATGCCAGGACGGTTGTGATGGATCCTGCGAGCGCGGTGCCGATATCACGGCTTTCGTTATGTGTCTGAATAGGCCGGCTTGCTGCTCCGTTGGTGATAGTGTTAAGGAGAGATCAGCCTCTTCTGAAAGGGAGAGGTCCACCGCCGGTGGGGAGGAGAATATCCGGTCTCGTTCTACAGACGATTCCCTTGAAGACGACGAGATGGATTCGTCCAAGTCGGAATCTGCGATCTCGATAGCTTTCAGAGTATCTTTCTTTGGACGCCCGCGGGGCTTCTTTGCGGTAGTCGTTTTTGGTACCGTAGCTTTTGATGTTGAAGCTTCAGCTACTGAGTTCTTTCTTGGACGACCTCGTCTTTTTGGAGGATTTTCCGGCTGTGGGGCAGTGGTTGTCTGCTTCCTCTTGGGGGCAGATAAATTGGACGAGGTTGACATAAAATTGGCGTGGACAGTGGAAACTCCAGGATTCTTGCTAAGCCAACATTGGTCTAGAAGAGCTATCATGGCTTGGCGTCTCTTCACTGGTTTGAATCCATAAGATGCGATCTGGCTCGCAAGCTGTGAGTCGTTGAGAAGCTCAAAATCTGGACGCGGGTTGCTAGTCCCGGTTGCAAGCTCTGTAGGCTCTTCGCCATTGATTTGTGGAGGCTGCGCACTGGAAACAGCAAGATGGGAGTTCTGTGGTGGAGTAATTGTTGATTCCTCTAAATCCGAGGACTTTAGGATGTCATTGATATCAACAAATCCCTCGTCCGAGTACTGCTGTCGTCCTTGGGTCCGAGATAACGACGGTAATTCTTTGACCAATTCAACATCATCAATCCTCATTAATTCACCATCTGTATCTCTTGCGCTAGCATGCCAGAGTCCTTGACTATCAGAATCGGCGAAAGGATCTGAATCAACCTGGTTTGAGGCTCGTATCGCCAATTGAAGATCTCGAAGAGTCGTAGGAGAGTCTTCTCTAACTAATTGGCTTGATGTTCCAAAAACAAAGTCTTGGTTAGAGGACTGCTTCAATGCGGAGTTCGGAGACAATAGGATTGGATTGTCCATTGTACCAGATTTCTTCTTGCGCTTAGGCTTTGCTGGCGCTTTAGTTTCTTTGGCTTTGCCTTTCTTCTGCGTCATGACAATCGTCTGTTGATCAACAAGCGCTTTGACAACACCATCCTCATCAAAATAGTTCAGCAGAGACTCCTTTGTGGCTGGGCCTGTAAGGTCGAGTTCAGGATTCATTAGTGGCATATAAGGCGCAGTCGCCAGTTCCGTGATCGTTCTAGTCTTCTTCTTGGTGTTTACCACCTTAGCTGGAGGTGTCTCCTTCGGACGCTGCCCGATCTCAACGCCCACTGAAACGGGCTCGATCGATTTCCGCTTCTCTAGGGTACCTGATTGCTGTAATCGCTCCGATGAAGCAGATGATGCAGTATGCTTGCATCCATATTGATCCAAGAGCGTATCAAATACGTCCTTTGACCGTGATCCTCGGTCAAGTGACGAGTGCAATTCCTGGTTATCTGATTCGGACTCAAGAATGATCGGGTCATTTGGGGGCGGAGGGGTCCAATCTCTCCGCCGTCTTAAAGCAGGTTCCGAGCAGTGAAGATCGTTTGTGACCTGGTCATCCAACTTCTGTGCTATTATGCCGTTATCCGATTTCTCATCCGCCCGTTTTCCGACACCTTCTTTAGCGGGGAAGTGCCTAGAAACTGTATCCGTCTTCTCCTTTTGTTTACCTTTAGTCGTTTGCTTGGTAACACGGGCCTTCGAGATAGTCGGCTGCTCGCTCTGTGAGGTTGACTTCTTGCTCTTGAATTTCTGCCATGGCTTTTCTTGTGATGACTCGATTAGAATAGGCGCCTCTACGAGTGCATTGACGGTCTCCGGTGTTGGTGTTCTCTTTTTCTTGGTCTTGCTGGCACGTGATTTTGATGGTGGTGAGTTAGTGATCTGTTCGGTCTCTATATCAATCTCAGACGCTTCTCGCAATAGACTTGCAGCACTAGTAAATGTAGTACGCGCATCATCGGGTACCGGCGGTGCATAGCCTCCACTCCGCAGCGGAGGCTTCTTAGGATTACTAGAAAATATCTCGTTTATAGAAGGCAGACCTGGAGAGGAGGACAAATCATAGGGGTCGGCCCTCGCAGGGGGTGCGGGAGACGACAGAAAGACGTCGGCTGTCGACATGGCGAATTGAAGTCGCAGGGATACCGGTATGCGCCAAGCGCAACCAAGAACTTTACTGATCGACAGGATTGCAGAATATTTCGTAGCAGATCGTATCTGTCATAAAAAAATCATTTCACGTATATTAGGTACAATTGAAGAGGGTTGAATTGACTGAAACCCGATAATGATGTTCATCTATTGTAGATTGATGAGTTTAAGTTGGGTAATTAATTCGCCGTTACGCGTCGGTTACAGCAACACTAACAAATTCCGTAAATGGCAAAACGCCAAGACCCACTAGGTACCGTTTAGTCGCCACGAAATAGTCTCGAAACCACCTGACTTTTTATTTACTCACGTGATCCACACCCGAGCGCGAGCCCCACGCCCACCAAACAAGAATTTTGTATTTTCGAGGGGTCAAAATTTCCAAGTCGATTTACTTGCTTCACCTACGACAACATCCACCCCTTGCGATATTCCACGACCGCAACCAACCACCAAGCAAATTCCGATTACTACAATCGACAAGCCGCAAAAATGGAAAACGACAAGGGAGAGATCGTGGACCTGTGAGAATACCCAATTACTGCATACAATTTGTTTGTTATCTTTGAGGGTCTTGCTAACGCCGATTGTTTTGTGCTTAGGTACATCCCCCGAAAGTGCAGCGCTACCAACCGCATCATCAAGGCCAAGGACCACGCTTCCGTTCAGATCTCCATCGCCAAGGTCGACGAGAACGGCCGACAGATTCAGGGCGAGAACCACGTCTATGCTCTCTGCGGATTCGTGCGCGCTATGGGTGAGAGCGACGATTCTCTTAACAGACTCGCTCAGCGGGATGGCCTCGTGAAGAACGTCTGGAGCGCAGTCCGATAAATTCCTTTATCATCTGGGTGGTAAGTCTTTAGCCTTTAGCTTCTTGCCCTAGCCTCTACTATATATCCTAATGCATCTACAGATAGGCATTGGTGTTCACGGGGAATTCATGACTGTATGGTCGGCATGGGATTGTTTTTGATGCTGCATCTAGCCGGTTAGATAAACCGCCACATCCACGTTTCGGAACGAATACAAACGATTCCCTTTCGCGCCTTAAATTCTCTTGATTCCAGTAACCTGCTGCCAAACCCCATACGGCTAGCGAAGTCTTCTCGCGTCCACCTCCGAGTGACCCCATGGGCGAGGATTCTGGGGCTACCTCGATAGCCTCCGTGCCGAAGATTAACAATGGCCTTGAAAAAGCCGTAATGCTCGAGACGTCCATTACAGCACAGATACGGGTCAAACATATTTCCTTCCTCGTAACTAGCTTAAGCCCGTCGTGTATCCCACCTGCATCCGTTTCCCATGATGCCCCCTGGACGTGTTTTAGATGGCACATAGATTACCCCCCAACCCCTAGATTTGAAGGATTCCTCTCTGTGATGTAGAGTAACGATAGACGGCGTGCGAGCCTACGTTAGTTGCTATCTTTTCAAATTTAGATCGTGTTCTATCTAAAATATATTCTATTGGGTCCACGAACACGAGTTTTGAACATTCCTCATACCAATTCCGTTAGATTGCTATGATATGCTATTCCAACAGATACAGCCAATTATACATCAACTCAGTGGTGTATCTTAATATCCCTCTACCGAATACTACGTAGTTATCCGTAGTCTTCATTTCCAATGTTCATGATGATAATTCTAACGTCTACTAATAGCTATAATCTTGGGAATTATAGCGGGCATGTCAATGGCTTCGAGGTGTCTATAGTTTCCCCTTCGGTGGGAACAGAGGTAGAGTATCTTAAGGGTTTTGTGGCATTCTGAAAAATAGACACTCGAGGGAGAATCGTGACAGGACTAAGACTAATCCAGGCTATTTGTTACATTCCGTATCTTAGGTAGGTAGTCAAATGCTCATACTTCCTCGCTTCGGTACCAGTGGTGTCGTGGGTTCCTTCGGTTCTTCAGATTTATCTGCCTCATGCCTTCCCCGATGTTCTCCTCCTCGACATCGCCTTCCGATGCAACGGACGACGCATCCGTCATCTCGACGTCCATGGCATCGTTCTCTTCTTCATAGCCTCCCATAATTTCGTAAAGCTCGAACTCCGCTATGTTCCAAAGGCCTCCGATCTCTTTGTACAGTTGGTCGATGCTCATTGCCGTGCTGCAGCGGTGACGGTCCCAAGGCGCGATTGACGTCTCGCGGTACACCATTCGCGCTGCGACTAGGCGCTCACATAGCTCGATGAACACCGACTCTTCGATATTTTGGGCCCAGGGGACGGCTTTCTTGAGAGCGCTGAGGAATTCCAGTAGGCCGCCGTTTTGAGCGGCTAGGTGGATCTTGATATTAGGATGTAGTCCCAGGGCGAACATGTTTGCCACTGCAGCAAAAGTCAGTAATTGATTCAATAGATACTAAGGGTAAGGAGCTTCTCTATTTACTCACACGCTTCATCGACAGACTTGGTTGAATTTATTGCCGCTGTGCCTTCGCCAGTCGGGATAAGTCCTGCTTTCTCGAGTTCCGTCACGACACTATCGTCTCTATGAGGCTGGCCGAGAAGATAACCCGTATACGGGTAACTCATTCCCGGCCAGGGAAGTACTTGTAAGAGAGACATGAAAGGTTCTTCCTTGGGCTTTCTGCGTCGCTGAGGCATGGTGGCCGTGGGGGGAAGAGAGGGATGTTTAAGGTTTGATGTGAGTTACCTATGAGGAAGAGTAAACGTTTTGGCGGTGATAGTGTTGTAGTTGAGTGTTATGGGTAAGACTTCAAATTTTCGTAAATACCTAAAATTGGAGGGGTTGTATTTATTGGCATGAATTCTTTAGGTACGTAGGTACGTCTGGTCAATCACTTGACAGGTTTGGCAACAGTATCCCACCGCCAGCCGCCCGTTGCTAAAGGAGGTTATTTTAGCCATTTAACGGTATGTGCAAAGTTCTCAAACTGGTTACTGGAGAGCTCACTATAGCAACCACAAGCATGGTTCATATGTGAAGATAATCACATCATTGTCACAAGGTGAGACCAAGAGATTTGGGAACAACTTCATCATTATACAAGGAACTCTAGCCTACCTAAGTAACTAACTATAAGTATTATTGGCTGGTTGCATGTAATGAGGATCCTTTGTTTTAGATACCTCGTATATATTTCCGATGATCGTTCCGTACCAAGGTGTTTCCGGGGCGTTGAAGGATATTTGATAGCGTACTGAATGGAAAAGTGCGCCTTATAACACCAAACACAAACCTACCTGGAAAGCCTACTTGAACGGCTGTAATATTATGAAATAATTATACCTTTTGAGGTTAAATTAGGAAATCATTTAATTCTATATGTGCGATGGTATTTAGACATCTCCATGTGCCGCATACCATTTAGGATAAGGAGGCTAGTGAGGGCTGGTCCTTTCCTGCACTCCGGCGTTGATTGTACCAAGCAACCAAATAACCTGAAAGGGGAAGGTACAATGATTGCATCGCAGAATGGCTTAGGGAGGTTTCACTTGCTACATTAACCTCATAACCGTACTGTCATCTTTCATCGTTAATGATCATATTTTTCAAGTCATTTCACAGCATATCAATCAAAACTACCAAGTTCCAAAAGGAAGACATGGGCACCCAACACAAGCCGTTTAAAAGCTAGCTGTGGTGATTAAAGAAAATAATCTAACTCAAGGCTTTCCTTTGGCGTTATTACTGCGCACCGATAAGGACGGCTCCGACTCATTATAAGAAGACCCACTTAACCAGGCTTGCCCAGTCAAAGTCAACTACCTCACCCTAGTACTAATCAGGTAGAGTAATGCCGTGGGCGGAAATGGAGGGTCTTATATTTTAGAAGTTATAAATTTCCGAGATGTCAGAGGTTATGCCTGTTGATGGTTGCCATATACAGAGTGAGTGTCTAGGGTAGGTAGGCCAAGTAGTAGATAGTCTGCTGTAGCTATCCCTAACCCACTTATACCCTGACACAAAGGCACTCCCATAATACCTAGTATAGGATACGATTAGTCGTATAAAGGTGCCGAAGATCACTGTCACGAGGTGGAGCCAAACGACATGAAAACAACTTTATTGTTGCGCTAGGAATTATAACCTAACTACGGGAGCCTGTGGCTATGGATACTAAACATGTCCTTTGTTCTAGACGTCTCATCTAGGATCCTGACAATCACGATAGATGCGTTTGGTCTAGTTTAGTCGGTGTCGAATGCTTATACACAATTACATGTGTTGCCTAGTATCAGTAACGGTTCGAGGATTAACATAATTGTATCCCATAATAGTATTAAGTAGTTCCATCGTTATATTAACAATGCGATGACAACATTATACCTTTTAGACGACGCCATATTTCCAGGTTACGGGTGTAGGGAAAGATAAAGTGCAGAACAGTCAAACTATTTAATATCGTCTAACGCAATCACCTATACCGCCCCTCGAGGGGCACTTGGCCAAGTGGTAGGCACACCACTTCAGGAGTTCATTTCGAACCCCACTCGTCGTGCTATTATCATTTGATAACTGGAAGTCGTCAATGTGCAAAATTACTATTAGCACAAGGTTATACGTAGCCGGAATATAAGGATGGTCTCGCTTATTGATCTTGACTGTGGGCTTACGGGTTTTTTTTTCCTCTTCATTTCCCCCTTTTCTAACAAGAACTTGCATCTGCATTTCAATCTCAAAAGTCGTATCATTTCGCAAATACGAAGACCAGCACTGGATGTTCACACTATGTTTCGGTCGAATTGCTTAGATAATATTCTAGCTTGAGTTTTGCTAGTTAACTTAGGTACCTCCTGGGGGTGCAATTATGTGTCGTTAATTTAAGATAATGGGGTTACATTTGCGGCTCATAGGGCTGAAAATATCCACTAGCCAAGCCATCATCCCTGTAATAAGATCGATTAGCCCCATTAGATCGATCTGGGGTTTCTATGATGCATGATCATATCGGGGGACTATGGATCAAGGGGGGAATTACACTTGATTTTCTCTTTAAACTAGATTCGTATTATTTTCATTCAACTTTTTTTTTCTCATTTTTGATCTATTTCATGTCTTTCCTCTCTTTTTCTTGTGTAACACGTCGAAAACCGATCGCGCCCGTCTCTCTCATATATTTGCTCCCTATCACCTTACCATTACGCCATAAAGTAAATATTAATCAAACTCGATTGCTTCATTTAACCATGGCACCCAAAAGAAGTTCCAAGGAAAGAGTCACGAGTGAGGACGAGACCCAAGAGAAACCCATGAAGAGGCTTAAACCCACAAATGGCACTTCAGATCCATTACGCGAGCCTCACCATTTCGCGGCCGAAGCCGAGGAGCATGGCATTGTGCTACGCAAATTCTACCCGCCGGAAATGAACAATGCCCGTGCCCAAGCATATAATGACAACAAACTCCCTCGTCCTATTGAACAGCTCGAAGTTGTGCTAGAGGAAACGGCGTCGATGCGGAAGAATACACAAGTGAAGGAGGCTGTGATACACTGGTTCAAAATGGATCTGCGGACCACAGACAACCGCGCACTATGGGAAGCCAGCCAGAAAGCTCAAGAAACTGGCGTTCCTCTAATATGCATATATATAGTAAGCCCCGAGGATCTTGAGGCGCATTTGACGTCCCCCGTGCGCGTCGACTTTACGATACGTACTCTGCATAAGCTGAGGCAGGATTTGGCAGCTTTAGATATTCCGCTTTATGTGGAGACTGTCACCAAGCGAAAGGAGATTCCCGAGCGCATTTTGGAGTTCATGGATGAATGGGGCGCGAGTCATATATACGCTAATATTGAATACGAGGTCGATGAACTAAGGCGAGAAGCAAACATGGTAAGGTTATGTGCGGATAGGGGAGTAGCGATGGTATTGTTTCACGATACTTGCGTTGTTCCGCCCGGCTCGCTGCATACGGGTGCCGGGAAACAGTATGCGGTATACTCGCCTTGGTTTAGGGCCTGGGTCGCACATATACATGCGAATCAAGAGCTTCTTAGCTTATTTGACCCCCCCGCGAAGAACTCTTCTGCCGCTCGTGAGAAAATAGCGGCTCTGTTTGATAGCGAGATACCAGATACCCCAGAAAACAAGCAACTTTCAGACGAAGATGCGAAGAGGTTCCATGCCACTTGGCCAGCTGGCGAACGTGAAGCCATGGATAGACTTGAGAAGTTCTGCGACGAGAAAATCGGAGAGTATGGCAAGAGGCGCAATTTTCCCTCCGAGGCGGCGACATCATCGATTTCGGTACACTTGGCAGCTGGGACATTGAGTGCGAGGACGGCGGTAAGGACGGCGCGAGATAGAAATAAGACAAAGAAGTTGGATGCGGGCGTCGAGGGCATCCAAGCCTGGATCAGCGAGGTAGCATGGAGAGATTTTTACAAACACGTCTTGGTCCACTGGCCTTATATCTGGTGAGTCTTGACCCATTAGTGGATAAGAATACCGAGCTGAACCTGATACCACAGCATGAGCAAGCCGTTCAAACCGGAATACTCCAATATCGAATGGTCCTACAACTCAGCACACTTCAAAGCCTGGTGCACGGGGCGCACCGGCTTCCCAATCGTCGACGCGGCAATGCGGCAAGTCCAAGGCGTAGGCTGGATGCACAACCGCTGCCGCATGATCGTCGCCTCATTCCTATGCAAAGACCTACTCCTAGACTGGCGCATGGGCGAGAGATTCTTCATGGAGAACCTAATCGACGGGGACTTCGCGTCGAACAACGGCGGGTGGGGATTCAGCGCCTCCGTCGGCGTCGATCCCCAGCCATATTTTCGTATTTTCAACCCGCTCCTGCAGAGCGAAAAGTTCGACCCCGACGGTGTGTATATCCGGAAGTGGATTCCGGAGCTTAAGGGGGTTAAGGGCAAGGCCATACATGATCCGTATAATAGGGGCGCTGCGGCGGAGGCTAAGAAGGCAGGGTATCCGGAGCCGATTGTGGATCATCGGCAGAGTCGCGATCGCGCGTTGAAGGCGTATAAGATTGGCATTGGGCGGGATAAGCCCTGAGTGTGCGTTTGTTTACGTAGGTTTGTCTGATCTATTTGGGTTGATTTTTGTGGAAGTATTAGGAATCAACTAATTTTGGGGAGAGGAAACCTCTTAGCTAGCCGGTATTGCGGTGTCTACACTATACCGGCCTGCGTTTTTGGCTGGGGCTATCAAAACGAGGATGGAAAGTAAATACTATGTAATTTAATCAAGGAATACAGCATCAGATAAACGATCTGAGTGTAATCAATTCGTGCCAAGACTGAAACCCAATCCTCTTCTATCGTTACATCCGGTTCACCGCTGATCTGTTGATCAATGCCCTATTAATTAAATCAGTGGATGCAGGGACCTTTTCACTGCTTACAAATTCGGTCGCCCCTATCTCGCATTTAAAGAGTCGTCACTATGTGAAATAGCTTCATGATTATACCCTTAAATTCAACATATCACCGCTATACTCGCCCCATCGAGTAAAACCGGCATAACTCATCATGTCATATCCCCGCCACGAAGCTGAGATCGACAGGCGTTCTCTTAGGACCTGCCTTCACATTTTCCAGCATCCATCCGACATCCCATCTCTCTTCCGGTCTTCCTGGCGCGAAACACGGGATTACTATGCGGCGCGAGACGTTCTTGATCTCGAAAGGGAAGAACTGATACAGATCATTTCCTACTCGAGGACGATGGCCATCAAAATGTCTGGAATGGCTCTGTTTTTGGGTCTGCTTGTCGTCCTCGCTGTCTCGAGGTCTTGCAAAGCTGGTTAATAGGCTATTCTCATAACATTTCTGCCAACCGAAGTACTTGGTGCCTAAGGTTCCGACCGACCATGAGCTTTGGGATTATACTTCTCAGAGAAATATACTTTCACTCATCATCTCCTATCCATGTTCCATCCTCCTCGTCCATCATAGACCAGAGATCCCTTGGACTGAGCCCCATAGAGAGTTTAGGGTAAAACTCGCAAAGTAACGCGTCCAGAGAGACCTTGAAGTGCCCTTGGTAGCCTCCCTCTTCGCTAGGTTCCGTAACATCAACTACCCTAACATAGGAAGTCTGATGGCCATCGGCATCATCATCCAATACCGAGTCCATAGTCCCTGCATCAACCATTATCAGGACACCAAGCTCGAAACCCGCAGCGACACCTCCCATTGATTTAGCGATATGAAAATGCCTAAGTCCAGTTTTAGTAGAGCTATGGGAGAACATATGTTGAAAGACTTACTTTCTGGCCTCTTCAACACCTACATCTTCAAGCCGCGGGTCTTCGATAGTCTTGAATTCGAGAGCTTCTTTAATCTTTTCAAGACCTTCACCCGTCTCCTCGTCAAGCTGTTTATCGCAAATCGCGCCGAGTCTCTCTTGGAACTCCTCCCAACGACTCTCAGAGGCGTAGTAAGTTCGCACGATGACAAAACCCCATGATGGAAAGCCCGCCCGTTGGAGTGTTTGGACGAGTGGCGATGGAGCTATTTGTACTGCCTGGGGGGGAGCTATGTCGGGCGACAATACCATATTCGCCTGGTTTCGAGCTTCCATATATCTTGTAAGGTCCTAGCCGACCATGTAAGTAGGAGAGATTAATACTGTTCGCGTAGCATGAACAAACCTTGTGCGATAGCTGCGATAATATCTCGAAGGTGGGGAATATTGCCTGCTCGGCAGACCAACCCGTAGGTATATACGACGGAGGTTTAGCAGGTAATTGGCCCTGCTTGTATTCTCTCCGGGCGCTGTCGGCCGTCTTTCCTGCAGCCCATAGTCGTTGTTCCTAATTAGAGAAATGCCTGACTTAGTATGAATATCCTTTGGAATGCAGGTGTTTAGAGATTCAGTCACTCAAGAAGACGAACATCTTCCGATAATTTCGTGACCAGGTCCAAACTGAGACCTCGTGCTTGGTTCACAGTCCATCCAGGTGGCACATATGATGGGGGCGTAGGAGGCCGCTCATTGGCTTTCCGGAGAGCTTTATTAAGATCACTTAACTTAGCGTATTCTTGTGAGAAGGGAAATCTTCGAATACTATCTTTTAACTGTTTGCGTTCCTTCTCATGGAATTAGCGAATATCTCAGGAATAAGGGGTCGGTCTTGTCGGACATCTTCCGAGACTTGAGCAAAACCTTCAACAGTGAGATTCAAAAGCCGCTCACTATTCCAATTTGATGGGAATGAGATGCGTGCCCATGCTGGGCGGTCGTCTTTAGTTTGTAGCTCCGACATGCCGCCTCTGTACAAAAGCCTCAAAATGTTGTCAAATCCTATGAGACTCCCACAATTCAATTATAGAGGTTAGGTATAAAAGAGGAAGATGTATAGTCTTGGCGGGGAATATCCAGGCCCCATGTAACGACGCGTATTATCTCATTGGACCTCGGCATTACACGCTCAACATGCTGAACAAGGATTACCACTCCCACTCATGCCAACTTATACATAATCTTGAATGATTCTTGAATAATACCGAAATGGTACCCTTATCATCATATCCGTTCCGATTATTAAAGAAGATAAATACAGCGCACGGAACGTATTTTATTTTACCTATACTTTTTAATCCATCAGTTGGGACCCATCGACTCATCTCATATTATTCAGTCCGAGCTACAGGTGTCATCTCGCAACGAACAGCGGGGAAACTTGGAGGAGCTCGGTCCAATTATAGACAATTGAATAAGGGGCAAACATTACATGTAAACTCTTCCATAATGCCAAAGAGGAACAACTCATCGTCAACGCCGCCCAAAGAAAGGACATTAGCAGAAGCACGGCCAAGTGCTAGTGTCATTCTCCTATCTCCAGAGAATCAGGTCTTATTATTACACAGAGTGAAGTCGTCCTCGGCGTTTCCTTCGGCTCATGTATTCCCGGGAGGGAACATCTCCGAGTTCCATGACGGAACGGTACCAGGCCCGGGTGATCTCAAGCGGCATGAAGACTCCCTCACTTACCGGTTAGGCGCGATCCGGGAGACGTTTGAGGAGAGTGGAATTTTACTCGCCCGCGAAGAAGGTAAAGATGGGAAACCCTTAAACGTCCCTATTACTCAACGCGACAGTGCGCGTAAAGAGATTTACGAGAACAAAGTCCGCTTCGTTGAGTGGGTTGAGAGTGTAGGCGGGCTTGTAGATACTGGTAGGTAATAACATGCGCCATGCATCACGCTTCAGGTTAATTCATAATACTCAACTTATTGTTAGAAAATCTTTTGCCATTCACTAGATGGATAACTCCCCTGGGACAGCCTCGTCGATTCACGACGCAGATGTATCTTTACATGCTTCCGCTATCGACCAGCGACGACCCCGCTGTATCCGCGGCACGATCTGAGGCTATAATCCCCACACCTGACGGAGGTGTTGAGATCACTGCGGCACGTTTTGATGATGCAAGCACATGGCTGAAGAAGCAACAAACGGGCGAGATCGTACTCTTTCCGCCTCAATGCTTCCTCCTACATATTATCTCCAAATTCTTAGTCGGACCACCCTCTGCTTCGCTAAGTAGGTCTGAATTAGTGGAGCATTACCACGCGCAGAGAGAAAAGTTGAGAAGCTTCCTCACGACGGTGCCGACCACAAGTGACCCAAAAGCTGCGAAACACCCTACAGCTCAGATTGCTTGGGCTGACAAAGTGATTAGCCCTACAACGTTGGGTCTACGGAAAAGCGACAGAAAGTCAATCTTAGGACTCGATAAGCCCGGTCCGGAACTTAAAGGCAGCAATAGGGGAGGTGACTGGGAGAGGGTTGTGTTGACCAGATTCGTAAAGGGAATAGCTAAGGAGGTTGAAGTAAGGAGTAGAGAAGAAGTGCTGGAAGAAGAAAGGCAGGCGGCAAAAGAACTGAGAGAGACGAAATTATGAGTCCCGAGTCATGAAGCCTGGGCACGTTGACACGGTATGGCCATGATTCTATGTTTCAAACTTAAGAAAAATTGTCGGAATACTGATTCTATGTATTCATTAAAATCCTTAGGTGAATTTTCTGGCTCCTGTAAGATCTGATTCAAATTACTATTAAGTCAAGGAACGATCTGGAAAGCATCATCTAGTGTCATAAGCAATGATACATGCTCCCACGCAGCATTCAATGAAACTTCATCATCTGCCAATCACGGTCACTAAAAGGACGCACGAGAAGTAGTGAATGGTCATTATATTACATAGGTACAAAGAGGATTCATTGTCAAGACTTGCGTCACCGCACAAGTGTCAATAGAGCTGGTATGAACAATTGCATTGTACGTTCCGGACTACGATCAAGACTTATATAAACCGCCCGAAAGAGACACCCCTAACCTTCAACCCATCCCGACAATCAAACCAACTCTTCCACCAAAAACTCCTCACGATTACAACCATGAAGTCGTTTGCCGCTGTCCTATCTCTCTGCCTCTGGCACATAGCCAGCGCAACACCCGTCATGCCGCCAAACTCAACAACCATGTATCCCCGAGAGCCGCTCCCCAGCAACCACCCCGTCGAGCCTCTCACCGGCCCCCGCGCCATCGCGGAAAACATCCTCGCGGCAGTCCACAAGGCGCGCGCCGCCGGGAGATACGCCAACAACACCTCCTCCGCCGACGAAAAACGAACAGTCCACAACCACAACTACACCGCCCCAGGCGCCCACTTCTTCCCCACGCCGCGCGACGCCAGCCTCAAGTCCCACTGCAAGCAGAACAGCACCAGCTTCGTCGACACCACGGCCCCCGGGTCCCCGCCCACCGCGCACTGCGCCGCCCTCGTCGACCAGATCTTGCGCGACAACGTCAACCAGACGTGCGTGACGTTCGGGTTCGCGCCGAATAGCAACAACGACACGGCGCGCCACAGCAGCACGACTACGAACCTGATCGCTTCGTCTGGGAAGTGCGCGTTCAGCGTGACGGTGGACACGGCCGCGGTGGCGAACACGTTTCTCGGGATTGGAGACATAGTGTTTGTGGTGCAGGAGTCTATTCGCCGGTTTTCGAGGAGCTATGGGAATGGGACTGTGGAGGTTGGTGCTGATGCTGATGCTGATGACTGTGGGGATGGTATTACGACTGCCCCGGTGAATGGGACTGCTAATGCTCGGGTTGGCGGTGCGGGGGCATTTGAGTGCAGTGCGAATGGTACAGAGCATGGTAATTTTGTGAATTGGGCGCTGGTGCCTATTTAATGGTATCTTTGAGGATGGGATAGGAAAGGGTCTAGTATTATGGCTACGGTATAAGTTACTAACTAGGTCATCTTTGCAATAGTTGGCGCTGGACTACGTAGGGTTTCTACACGAATAAATCAGCTTTCATTTACTCTCTTATATGGAATGGACTATTGAATGAATATTGATGATAGATGTGAAGTGTGTACATGCACATGTATAATCTACTGAAAGCTATATTATATTTCTTAATGACTTATACCACGTAAACAATTACTCTAAACAAACCTTTAGCGACCAAGTCCTTAGTAGCCCCTATTCTATAAAAGGGGTAGATATGTACCGTAAGCTAGTTCATACGCACCGTATATGCGCACTGTCCGCCAATACCCGTCGCCGGTAGCCTGCATCACCGGGTCCGCTTTCGGTACAGGAAATTTACATATGTACATGTAATACCCTTCAATTCGAAACGAGGTACTCCCGGAATCACGCAATCAATATTAATTGCATTCAAGAAGCCGTCCCAGAAAACATCTATCATGGCTACGACCTCTCCCCCTTACCACCCTCGTGTCGGCATAGCGGCCCTGATCCGCGATTCGCAGGGCCGATTTATTATGGGGAAGCGGAAGGGCAGCCACGGCGCGGGTACGTATGCCGTCCCTCAGCCTTGAATTTAGACGTGTAGTTACGCGAAATAAAATAAATCAGGTTAAGAATACAAGTTAGTTAGTTATTAACGATGATGCGAGCAGGTACTTGGCAGTTCCCCGGCGGCCACTTGGAAATGGGCGAATCGCTGCTGGAGTGCGCGGAGCGCGAGACGCTGGAGGAGACGGGGCTCCGTGTTAAAGCCCTGCGTGTCGCGGCTACGACGAACTCTGTCTTCGACCCGGAGACTAAGCACTATGTCACGGTGTTCGTGGAGTGTCGGAGGGAGAATGAGGATGATCAACCGGAGGTGAGTAACTGAATTGCAGCTCTGCTTTATTTTCTGTTTGCCATCGACCTATGACTCCGGCAGGTAGTCTATGTACAGGATGCAAGCTGACAATATCGTGGTAGCTCCTGGAACCGGAGAAGTGCGAGAACTGGGACTGGATCAGTTGGGATCAGGTGCGGCAATGGGTCGAGCATCATGATGACAATGTCACACCAGAATGGGCGCAGAATAAGTGTTTCATGCCTATCATAGCGTTGGTAAACGATTATCCGAACCTCGGTTCTTCTAGCCCATAAGGCGAAATTGAGCAGGATGAGTAGGTAATATCAATGAGGCCGGGAAGCAATGACTCCTAGGGGGATTATTCCACATAACCGGCAGTCTTAATATTTTTATTATTTCTTGCATTGACACGCAGGGCACTTATACCTTCCATTTTTACGTAGAGAATAAGATGCTCTATTCCACCCTGGCTAATATTATAGTGCACTCTCTATCGCCGCCAACTCGGCCATCTGGGCTTCAATGTTCTTCTTAGCCGCATCAGTAGGCTCTATGTAGGGCCGCCTCGGCTTCAACTTCTCCACCGCGCCCTCAATACCTGCTGCCTTTGCCGTATGAATCGCCGCGGCGTATTTCGTCGCAGCAATGCCAGCCTTGCAGGGCTGCTCTGCTAATGCTGCCTTCTGATGTAAGGCTAGCGCCTCCTGATACTTCCCTTCCTTGAATAGCTTGTAGATCTGCACAATGGCTTTCGGGAACACGTTGCCGAATGCGGCGATGCATCCCGCGGAGCCGACGCTAAGACCTCCGATCAAGAAGTCTGACTGTCCTCCGAAAGTTGCAAAACGTTCCGACGGTAATTCGGCAGCGAGACGTGTGATCTTGGCCACAGAACCGCAGGTCAGCTTCACACCGACAATGTTACTGTGTGCGTTCGCTAGCTTCGCGATAGTAGCCGAGTCTAAATCCACGCCGTTGCACACCCCCGGGAAATTATACAGCACTACGGGGAGAGGGCTCTTGGTAGCGATTTCGGCGTAGAAATTGTCGATTACGGCCGGAGTGGTGGCCTTGCCGAAGTATGCCGGGGGTAAGACAAGTACGTAGTTGGCGCCGGCTTCTGCCGCGTCGGTGATGAATTCCAATACTTGGCGCGTGGAATGTCCACCGCAGCCGGCCATGATGGGGTAAGATGGCCCGCATGCTTTACGGGCTGTTTGGAGCAGTGTCTTTCGTTCCTCACGGGTGAGAAGGAAAGTCTCGGCATTGGTTCCTAGGATAACCAGACCAGCGAGGCCGGTCTTGGAAAGGTACGAATAGTATGTTGCTTGTGACTCCGTGTCTAGATTATCGGTTTCGGGGTCGAAGAAAGTCACGGCTGGCGCCCAGACGCCGCTAGGAGGAACTTTGGGAAACGACATTGTGAATAAATATATTTCTATAATATAGATACTTATCTTATACGCCAAATCTAGTACACTTGTGAGTTGAACAATTCTAATGGCACGAAATTGATATACCAGGCAGCTGATACCAGGTTGGGTGAGGAGCGCGGGGCCATTTGTTGCGCTCGTTCGGTGCATCTAGGCCGACCTTCTCGCGACCCTTGGCATTCCGCTGTCGGCATAAGTATTATATTTTATGGCTTTTAAGGAAAGATGTTAAGGGTATATTCGGCTTAAGTAAATGTAGCTTAACTAATAATAATAGTTGGAAAGACATCATTGAAACAATAGAAATTGACCTAGTGTGGGCTATTATCTTGTTGACTTTGTATACATTAGGTACCTGTTATCCGGATTTTAATAACTAGTCCTCCAGCTGGAAGACGGGTCATAAAGGGTTTCACTGAATAGGTGTTTATAATGAGATAATCTTGGTGAGGTTATTCTCTTGTGTCAGGTTGCAGGTTGCAGGTTGTATGTAGTGTAGGCAGCGTGTAGGAGATCAATCGGTGAAAATAGACCGGGAGGGTGGGGAAACAATCGGGTAATAATCGGCAGACCCTTGCATAAACACTTACCTAACATTACTACTATTGGTCACCTGCGTATGCACAATTGATGCCCCGCGAACGAATCAGCGAATGCGCCTAGAAGGTACGGATTACAGCGCGTTGTGTTGCGTGCATTCCCTCGAGTCAGTCAAGTACATCTTGGGTGCTTACGTCAATTTAACGATGAGTTCGCTTTGTACCCGTTACACAACCAAAGCTTCCATCTTAGAAACACAAAACCCACGATCAATAATTTGTCGCAATACCTAGAGTCCATCGAAAATAGCGACATACAATAGCTAAATTTCTCATGGGCTGATCGGATTCGCCACGGACTTCTCCCGAAGAAAATCATGACGCTACTGACTTGTATATCTCCAGTGGCCAAGTACTGCCATCGGTAATGATATGTATAACCAACACAAGATAATGAGGAGATTACTTGGTCGCCAGAATACCGAATCTCCTGGCGATGGCAACCTCGGTGTCACTACCTCGCCCGTCCCCCAGTCTTACCGACCTAATGCCTCCCAAGACGCAGTATATTCCTCCTCCGTACCAGTAGCTTGTCTCGATAGATCCGCCGATGGTCAACATGCCGTGCTGGGTGGTCGCCATATCCTTAAAACGATCCATTTCGATGGCCTTCAAGTTAAGGAAGGTATTGATATCCGTTCCATTATTACCGCGCAATATGCGAACAAGAGCAATGCAAGTCTGGCCTCGGATCAGCTTTCGATAAAAGACGTCAAGTTAGCCTCTAACCATGGCAACGACCTCACCGTCTTTACCGCCTGCGCCAACGGAAAGATATTTATGTACGATGTTAATCGGTTGGGCTCAGGTGCTGGTCTTGAGCCCATTCAGACCAGGGAGGATTCGCGACAGGTGAACACCCTCGATTTCAACCCTCATTGGGGAACCTGGTTGCTATCTGGAGGCCAGGATGGAACGGTGCGCTGTTTCGATGTGAAAGCACCTATACCTTCGCGTAGTGGTCCAACATTTCGGACAATCCAAGCTTTCAGGTGTAATGCTGATGGGATCAGTGATGTGAAGTGGTCGCCTAAAGATGGTATGATCTTCGCCTGTGCTACAGATTCCGGCGTCATCTTGAAATGGGACTTTCGGAAATCTAATGCACCATTACTAAAAATAAATGCCCACGATACTCAGAAGGGGGCATCCTCTATCTCCTGGCATGCAGATGGAGATCATCTGATAAGCGCGGGGTTGGATAGCAAGTGCCACGTCTGGGACCTGTCCAAGAATGCCGAGAAGAGGCAAAAGCCCAAGTGGACAATCAATGCCCCAGCTCCCGTTACAAGCGTGGCATGGCGGCCGGGTCTCTGGTCCGCTACTGCCCAAGGGCGCCGAGCTGCCCAGGTCGCCGTGTCGTACGACGAAGGCGGGCACGTTAAGAAGAATGGTATTAGTTCCGTGCATATCTGGGATCTAGCACGCCCGACAATGCCATATAAGGAAATAGACATATTTGAGAACTCGCCTAGTGCTTTACTTTGGCACAATCAGGATCTGCTTTGGACGGCAGGACCCGATGGCTTCGCTCAGTGCGACGTTGCATTTGCTCCCAAGGTAATAGATCGCCAACCACTTTCGAATGTCGCTTTCTCCGCTAGAGGAGAAGCACTCATGTTCCTCGAGGAGAGAGTACATCTGCCTCGGCCACGTCCAGCAGTAATTTCGCATCAGGGGTTGCCTACGTCGCCTTACAGCTCTAGTCCTACTGGGCAGGTGCTCAGCATTAGTCGTAGTGACTCGGAGGAAGATGTAATCGGTAGCTTTCTCGGGACGAGGCGGAATGCGGCCGACAAGCGCCGAGGAAACAATAAAGTAGCTAATACTCTAAGTACAACACCCCCGTCTGGTCCTGGTGTGGAGGGCCAAGTCATCCCACTAGATCAAGCGATGAAGATAACGGGTTCGTTCAAGCCACACCAAATCATGGCAATTGGTCAAATACCTGCAGCCCCCAAAATGCATGTGTATAGTTATCTATCTCGGCAATACCTTGAGATTCTCAAGCAAGATCTTCCGTATACCGAAGGGGGTCGACCCCTGAACGAAAGGGTTGCTGGAATCATCGAAAGGTATGCACGAGCTTCCGAGGGCGTCAGTCAATTTCGACTCGCGCAGACGTGGCGAATATTATCTTACGCCATCGGCCTACTCCTGACCCGCAGGTCTCAATACCACTTAAAACAGCGCCAAGTGCGCCGTGAGAAGTCACTGATAGAAGCCGATAAAGACGCCTCGGATATTAAGTTGGCATTCTCGAAGGCGGATGCGTCCCCACGAATAAGAGTCGATGGGGAAGACGCCCCGAGAAAGCCACCGTCCGTGTCGTCTCTCGAGGGCCGTCATCCCTTGGCGAAGTCGTTACTCACGGAAGAGATGTATAGCGAATCCAATGTCGCGACACCCTTAGCCCGGCCTGTTAAAGAAAATGTTAACAATAGTCATGAATATGCCGCGGGGAGGTTGTTGACCCCAGTTTTAGAAATGGGGAGCTTCAACCTACCACCTTCCGTCCTCCCAGAGGGTTCTGGTCCGCGGAAGAGACTTAATTCTACTACTCTTTCGACCTTTAGCCAAGATAGCCAGATGTCTAGCACGGAAGGATATGATTTCTACGATATGGACGCTATCGAGAATATCATAAACGTGATCGATGTTCCGAAAAAGAGGGAGCCATTAAGTCTTGACTGCGCAGAACCATCTTCACCAAACGTACGACGAAGGCCTATTAGACACGATTCGGACGAGAGCTACACACAAATATTTATGTTATCGGATGCCAGTAGACAACCATCTACTCTTACAGGTTCACCTAATAGTAGTGCGCGTACCTCCCGGAGGGCGGAACAAATGAGCGGGAGCTTAGGAGAGGGAGATGGGGAATTTGGAAGCAGAATCAGAGGTAGACCGATCGAGGAGTCCCCTGGAAGCGTGAGACGTCTAACACGACATTCAATAGAGCAGCAAGATTCTGATCTCACAGATGACATTAAAATATCACAGACGACTACGGACACGATGGATAGTGATCCGTCCCCGGAAATGAATAGCAATTCCTCGAAATATGCAACTAGACTGGTCTTAGAAACAAGACTTGCTCGAGAGCGTTCTATGATAGACCAGCCTGAGGACCACCCATCATCTCAAGTCACTGAGACCGACTTCCTCCCATGGCCGGGTGACCCCCCTTATCCACATCCAATCGCAGACGAGGTAAACTCGAAATTACCTATCCCGCCTATTAACCCATACGATGTCCTATCGCGTGCTCTGGCCTTCGAGTCGAGACTTTCCGCTCTTAACGCATCCGCTATGATCCTCCTCTTGAAACCTCTCGTACCCGACGATGTCATCGATTGTCACCAAGCCGCCGCCATTCTAAGACAGTATCACAAACGCCTTATGGGTATGAAGCTATTCGTCGAAGCCTCACTTCTACGCAACCTTTGCGTCCAGGGATGGCCTGATGGTCTTCCGACATGGGGCGAGAACTATACTTCGGTCTTTACTCCGGCGCAGGATCGCGTTTCAGCTGCATTCACGTGCTCGCAATGCCATAAGCCGCGTGAAATCGACCGCTCTAATACGGATGGTCCTGGTATATGGAAGTGCGAGCGTTGTCGCGCCGTGATGGCGCCTTGTGCAGTCTGCGGGCATCGAGACGCAACAGCAGACCCGCTTCCACCAGTAACGATTTCGGAAGGCTTGGTAATAATTCCTTCTCGTCCGGCCGACGAACCTATACTCTCGACATGGTGGTATTGCCCTGGCTGCTCTCACGGCGGCCATGCAAACTGCTTACAGGACTGGCATTCACCAATCGTGCCCAAAGAAATATCCTCTCCCCCAATTTCTTCCACCTCCCCGTTCGACGGTGCCTTCCCCGAAACAAACAGCGACGGTTGCTGCCCCTTCGACGGCTGCGGGCACGCCTGCCTTCCCGGCCGTTGGCGTAACGAGAGCAGTGCCGCCCGCACAGAAGAACTAGGCCGGGTGGTGCGCGAACAAACCCGGAATTCCATCAGTGCTGGTTCCGGCACCGGACTTAAACGTGGCGGGGCCAGGCAGCGCAAAGGCAGCACTACCAACGCCTCGACTACACCATCCAATGCTATCCGCGGTGACGCGATCGAGGTCCCGCAGAGCAGAGCGGTGGAGAGCGTGCGGGAGGCGCTTTCTACGCTTGAGGTTGTTGGTGCCAACGGAGGCGGAGGCAGTGCAAGTGGTGGGAGTAACGGGGGGATATTTGCGGGGATCCTCAGTTCTAGCCCCGGACGCGCTAGTTTGGTTGGGAGCGGGAGCGGTCCGGAACGAAGGAAGAGTGTTAAGTTTGCGGGACCGCCGGAGGCGGGGCGGTGATGGGGATTAAGTATAGGTTAGGTACCTAGGTAGGGATGTTTGTTTGTTTGTTCGTTTGTCTGGTGTGTATATATGTACATAGGTAAGCTGGTATGTACCTACGGAGAGAAACTACTTAGTTGGTGGGAGCGGAATGGTTGTTGCATTGATATGGCATAGCATTTGCATTAAGGGGTGTGGGGGTGGTAGGTGGTAGCATGAGAAGAGGGGAGACCGCGGTTCGTTTATACCCCGGAGGAAGAGAGCGGACGGAGAAGTGACAGCTTGTACGTCTAGATAGGGAAGTAGTGTGCGAATCGAAGATGATTTGGTCGTTTGTATTAAAAAAGCCACTCACGCGAATACTCTCATAGCATAACCCAAGAAAAGGGGCCATGGATATACGGATGTAATACAAACGTTTGCCCCTGGGGGTTATATACATTACTACGCCTAAATTACCTCTTCTATCTTTTTCCTATTCCTACTCTTATCTCCTCCTATTCGTTTTCTTTTCTTATTTCAACTTTTCAAGGGGTATCTAATTTTCGCACCTCTCTCCTTTCTCCTCGTATCATCTCTTCTCACCTCGCCTTACTTCAAGCTCTCACTATCAAGCGTGAGCCCCAATATTCTCCCTCATTCCCTTCGTCCTCAAACTAAGCTTCGCACTCTCATCAAACGGTAGTCCAATAGTACTACTTCCCGAGCGTATCCCATTCCCGTCCACACTACTGCTATTTTCTTCTCTACTGGCTGCCCGCCCCATCAACTGCTCCCTCGGCTTAGAGCCCCCTATCGCCTCGCTATCCGCGCTTCCGGGGCGACTGCCAGCCGTACTTACACTGGCACCGTCATCCGCCGTCAGTCTTCCTCCCTTAGTCTTCATCCGTCCCGCCCATAGACCCCGTACCCCACCGCGTTTCCGCTCAGGCACCTCGTCGCGGCCCGCGCTGCATACGTAAAGCAAGTACTTCAGATTTGGCAGCGTATGCCGTATATCCACGACTTTCAGCCCAACCGCTGCGCACAGGGTCTCGACGTCTTTGTTGAGTAGAAACCACGCGTAGTCGAAGCGGTACTGGCCGGTAACGCCGCCGCGCAGGAATAGCGGGAATTCGCGCTGGGAATCTGGGAGTAGCGAGATATCGTCGCGGATGCTGCTGCGGGAGCCGAAGAGGGACAGCGTGTATGGTAATGGCACGGAAAGGTAAAACTGCAGCAGGTGCGCTAGCTGCGCTACGTACCCCAGCCCCGCGGCCATGGAGTCCTCCGTCGAGGAGGATGAAGTCGGGTCGTAGTCTGTGTTGGGTAGGGCGACGCCGCAGATGCTGAAAGAAAGGGGCTCGCCGGAGGGGACGGGGACAATGGGGAAGATCCGTGCTAGGTCCTCGCATATACGTCGGCGTTGGCCGTGGATGCTTTCCCGCGTGGAAGATAGGGGGGCGAGAGAGGCGGGGAGTTTAGCTTGCGCGTGCTTGACGTCCTCGGCGGCTCTATCCTGCGCGGCGCGGCCTTCGCGGATGGCGGCACGACGAGCTTCGATCGAGGCTTGGAGATCGGCTTTCCGGGCTTGAGCTGCGCGGAGAATGCGGACCTGGGAGGCTACGTATTTCGAGGCGAGCTGGGCTGCGTCTTCGGTTTTGGGAACGGCGTCTGGAGGCGAGCGCTCGAGAAGTGAGTTTATTTGCGCGGTGAGGGCTTCGCGCGTAGCTAGGGCGTCTTGGATGGAATTATCGAGGTTGGAGAGTTTCATGAGCGCATTGTAGGAAGAGGTGGGTAGAGGAGGGGCCTGTTTCGGCTCGGGAGTCTGGCTCGAGAGCTCGAAGGAGTACGGGCCATCGAGGAGTTGGAAGACGAGGCAGTTGGGGGGGAATTGGTGGTTTCGTAGGGTCCCGAGGTAGTTCAGGGAACGCAGATCGACGTTTTCAGTCAAGAGCAAACCCCACGATTGCTGCTTCTTGGCCCATATCTTTATTATGAATTGATGTCTCCTTGTGACTGTCGGTCCAGCTTGCGACAGGTCGAAAAATCGGAAATTGAAGTTCATCGCACGCTCGCCTACTTCGCTAATATAAACGGGTTCTTCGCCATCGTGGCAGTGCAGGGAGAAAAACACATCGGCAGCTCTACTCTCGACGGTGTATTCCAACTGCTTCTGACGCGTGACAGGGCTGATATTAGCGAGCGTCGTGCTGCGTCGTCGGAAATTGGCTGGCCGGGGTAGTAGACTCCCGGAGGACTTGGAGTGGTGAAGCTGGGGGGTTCCATCGTGAAGAGGCTGGAGCTTGGTGGAAGGGAGGTCGGCCTCGAGATCGTCGGCAGCCCTACCGTGGGGTCGGGTAAAGCTCAGGTTCCGGAGGTAGATGCCTTGAAGATGGCGTAGGCGCCGGTTCTGAGGCAGCATTGTAGTTGTGCTGCTTGCTGCGTGGGCAGCGGGCGCATGAGGAAGGTCATGGGTCAGAGTTGGTTGTTTGGTGGTTTGAGGGTTTGAGGGTTTGATTTAGTGATGACGAGTTAATGAATTAATCAATTAAGCCCTGGATGATGGAGATTTAATTACCTAATGTCCAAGTACTTAGGTATCTTTGCGATAAATGCAAGTATCCTTCTCAAATGAATACCTTTATAAATGCATAATAATGCACCTATCCATATCTCTTAAAGACATTCTTCAACTGAAGTCAGACTGAACTGAACTTTGGTCTAATATCTCAATAGTCTACGTGCTTCGGTCAATCAGATTTAAATGGACAATGTGCTATGTTTAATAGGCTGCTACGTGGTTATGGAGAGCCTATCATATTTTCAATGCAGCTGTTGTTTCCCCGTAATCCATTTAATATTACATTTTTCACCCTCCTGTTGGCGCGTTACAAGAGCTGAAGAATACGCGTTTTAAGAGCTGAGGAAAAAAGCCTTGAGGCAGTGTATTTCAGATTTCCACGTCATAAACCCAGGTCACATCTCTGAGACAATCTCAATAATTCTCTCTAAACTGATAATGTTCATTTTTGCTATAGCATTTCTCCATATTCAACACTTTCATTGCTGACCTAAATTAGGTATTCATGGCTGAAGCCCTTGGGGTTGCCGCCAACGGTATTGCCGTTGCGCAGATCGCTATTCAGGTTGGCGGCACAGCGGTTAAACTGAAGCAACTTTGGGACGAAGTAAAAGACGTCCCTGATGATATTACTGACCTCATGGATCAGCTTGACTGTCTAGATCCCGTCTTATGGGAAGTCGAAAATGGTTTCAATAAGGTCGAACTACCGTCGATTCTCTGGGATGACCTAGCTTCCAAGTCAACATCCAGATATTGTCGCAAGGCTCTCGAGAACCTAACTGCAATGGTTGAGGAGTTAAATCTCGAAATCAGTAGTGCCAAAAAGGGTTGGAGGAAGATAAAAGCAGTCAAGGTCCTACTTCAGAAGGATTCCATCAAGAAGCTAGAAAGACGGCTTGAAAAGGCTGTCCGAATGTTGACATTAGCTCAGCAGTCCTATCTCGTGTAAGTAGCGCGTCATGTAGATGTCCTATAGCGTGGCTAAACACCTTTCAGCGCGCTCACCCAGGTGCAACCTGATATCATCATCCAGAAATTCACCACCCTTACCTTCCGTAGAAATCAATATGAGCCTCAACAAGCACCCGATTATGCATCCAAGGCGGAGGTGCAGACGGTTTCAAGGTTACACCATGAGCAACAAGATACCGGCGACGTATCTACGAAACCTCGCTGGATATATAGAACAAGACGGACGCGTCCTAACTATTTTGGCAGAGTTTGTATCGAGTCTTTCGCGACAGGCAGCAGAATTCTATTCCAAGCACCAGCATGGTTCTCATATCGATCATGGGAACTACATAGCATTAGGGCGAATGGAGCTTGGCAATGGAACCTGAGGTCCTACAGGTGCATTCCGTGGGATAGTGAAATTTTCTCGCTAGTACAGTCCGGATCCCCCCAGGATATTCAGAGGCTCTTTGACGTAGGGTTGGCATCTCCATACGACTATAGTAGTAATGGATGGACTTTACTCCATGTAAGAGATATGAATTCGAATGGCTTCCAACGCTAATCTTTTCGATTTTGTCAGTCCGCACTTTTAGGACAAAACGTTGAAGCAGTGGAGTATCTGATTAGGATTAACCTAAGTAATAATACAGAGAATTTGACTGCAGACAGTAATATGTATGCCTTTATCATACTCTCTGATATCATACTCTCTAATATGAGCCCAGGGACATCTTCCTTTATTAAAGAGGTTACTTCGGACGCGTCCCTTATCAGACCTATTTTCGGGGAGCCCGAGGTTCCCGAATATGATGACTCTGTTCACGATCCGTCTTCTACATGCACTTGTTCCCCCTTTTTAGACCCAGAGGTTTACCTGGCAGTGCTCCCATATCTATGTCCGTCTCATCGAAGTACTTCACTCCGTTCGCGACTAAAGCAAGCCAAGATATCCCTAAGGTCTTTAGCAAGCATTGAAGTAGCCAAATTAATTCTTGAGCCGGAGTGGAGTACCAATCCCCAAGCCATTCGTTCCTGTCCAGACTTCCATTCGATTATTACCGAAGTCGCTTTCAAATTAGGGCTCATTACAGTTACTTCACTCCCGGGTTGTCCAGCATTCCCTATGCCGATTGAAATAAATTACTCGGATGCGGGTTTTCGTGGCTGTTTCGCATTTGCAGTCGACATAATTAAGGAGACTCCTGACATACATGCGTTCAGTTCATGTGAAGAATACCCGCTTGAGACTAGGGGTACAGCCATGGTAAACATGCTTCAGGGAATAAGGTGTGCTTATTGTGTCATTCGGACCTCGACACAATCATATCCTATTTCTAAACTGGCGAGGGGGTGGCTAGAGGCACTGAAGCAGGCTGGTGTTGACCTAGAAGCCTATGGACGACGTGAACACGAGATTTTCGTCGAAAAGAATTATAGTACTGCCATTGATTACTATGATGAAAGCCATCTCGTCGACTTCCAATTTGGCCCAAACCCTGAAGATTGGGAATTCTATTTTTGCCGGCCCATAGATGATTATGTTGGCGAGTTCTGGAAACTGGTCGAGGACCCACCTATCCGTGTTCCGGGGTCTTGGGTCGATGGTGATGATCATCATCATCGTCGTAATTGCTATTATGATGGCTACGAATTTGGGAGGTCATACCTTTTGGAGAATAAGGTAGTTGAGGCGAACTAGTTATCTAAATGGTGAAGACAACGACGACTACAATGGCAAGAGTTATTGATAGACGTCTCACACAAGTGTTTAATGAAAAGCATCGAGGGAACTCATAACCAAAAGTAAAAGTATTTTCACCCTTAAGTGTCTCAAGTCATCTTCCAATTATCAAAAAATTCTATAATCATATTTCTCGGACTACAATACTGACCACCTCTATTCCTCAGGTTGACGATGACTGCCGGTCTTTGCTAGTCCGTCGACTCCGCTTGCGAACCTTGGGCGGCTTTATCTCTCTCGGGTTCGTCTCAGACTGGACCCGTCGCTTCAGCTTCGTACTTGACACGGCATCTTAGCTAATTTCTTTGCGTCGTTGGCTAAGTTGGATAAAGAAAGGGTTTCAGGGAGGGAAGAAGGGTAGACATACGTTCTCAGTAGATACTCGGCTTGCTCTTCTGGAGATACATCTTCATCCCACCCTGGGGTCTCGATCACATTTAACAGTTCGCGAAGTTGCTCGGCGGCCGACGAAGTTTCGGGATCCATGGACGGAATTGGGCTCGAGCTTGGAGTTTGGTGTGATGCTGGGCTTAGGTGTAACGATGATATTATTGAAGGTTTGCTACATTTCAAAACTCCGTTCGCTTTCTTGGAACATGGTGGAGGGCTCTCTAGATCAAGATGTGATCCAAGGTCTTCGGCTTTCATTCCTAGAGCGAGCCTCTCGTGCCCCTGTGTGTCACGCCGATATCTTGTTAGTGGCGATAGTCCGCGTACCGAGCCTGGCTGCTCATGTTGTTGTATAGAGATGAGGGTATCATAGCATAATATCCTTGGACCGCCCGGGCTTTCGGTCTCGGTGACACCGTTATAGTTCCTATGAGATTGCGTTTGCTGAGAACTCAGGTCTGGCCTTGGGTGACTCTGAGATAAGGCGTGAAAGGAAGGGATAGGATAAGTGTAACTACCATAGAAGTCAGCCGGGAATTTTAACGAGTTAATAATAGTGAAAGTACAGATTATGTCTTACAGCGCTTGTCCATCATCACTCAAGCTGATGACGGTGTCACCGGGGGAATGGTCACGGAAGCATCGCTCGCTTCGTACGTCGATGTGGCTATCTCCTCCGATCCCCTCGTACTCAATATCATCGAACTCTGCCACGGTCATTTTTCATAAGAGATTCATTGAATTGATTGATATATAAGCGTAGTTGAATGAAGCTATGTCGAAGCATCCTAACTAAACGCGACTTTGAGCGCCCTTTTAATACTTCTAGAATATTTAACAGTATATAAGTCCGAAGGGTAATCTTCAACTTAGAATGCGGCTCGAAGACCCCCATGGTGCTAGATGCTGATCAAAAGCTTAAGCCGCGACCCAATCTCTTGGGAATAGGTGGGACATTATTTAGTCGTTGCCTCTCCGCGGAGACCCAGCGGTACGGAAAGGCTCCCGGGGGAACTCATCCTGTTGGTCACGGCAGAATACCCCGGTCTCATTGCATAAATATTACTACAAGGATAGTGTCCAAGCACCCAATCACGCCTCTCAATAATATGCAGGCCTCGCGTTAGCGACATGAGGTGCGAACCAAATGGCCGGTACTGAGACCCGATGATCTGGATCCTGTCACTGCGCCGTAGTAACCACTCAGTCCCTACGCGACATACTTCCGAGCGCTGCCGACGCCCCAGTATTCGCTACAGATGGCGCAAAGAGCGGTGACACCATCACGATGTTAGGCAAAAGAGAATGATACGGCGCGCAGCGTCTCTCCATCTCCACATCATGCAAATATATGTGAAATTGGCAGCGCGGTCATGCATGAACTCGTTTCACGGTCAGGCTGTGTAACCAACGCTCGTCGTGGCACACGGTGAATAGCCAGAGGCGTGTTGCCTTTTCTCGCCTCGATTTTTTTTTTCTTCGGCGCCAAATTTGAAAAAGTGATATGTCATATTAAGTTTCAAAAACATACGGTAGACGATGCTCAACATTACTCTCGGACAGGACACGATATCTAGTGCCTGATTGCAAATAGAAAGGTGTACCTACTATAGTAGTAACGAATAGCCCTGTCCTCCAAATCCCGACAACTGGGTTACCCATTGTCCCGTGCCCACGGTCCGGGATGCAGGACTGCAGTGCGACATTATCTCCGCCGCATGCCTGCAGATAATTGCCTCGGGGTAACAGAAAAAGAAAAAAAGCCAAGCCGTAACCTAATTCCAGGAGTAAGTTGCCTGGTGTGTTGTCAGTAAGTCCTACATCTATGGATTTGGCAAAATGTGTAATCTCTATTTTTCCAGTATCCTCCCTCAAGTACTGTTACGCTTGACCGCACATTCATCCGCGCATGGATTCAACCCTACATTGCCTGATGGTACGCCGGGCAGCTTTTCGAAAATCATTTCCTCTCCGAGGATAAAAATAGAAGTATCTCGCTTACCTATACCTAGGAGTGCTCGGCATGTGTTCCGCATACCTCACTTATCATTGCCCACGGATTACGGCTAGGCAACCTTGTTACATTTGATTGTCATTCCATACTACCTCGTTAGCTATTTGATGTAGCTATCTATCGAGTTTACAGGGGAGTGGTATTAGTAACTTAGATCAACTGATTTCGTTGAGGAAACTATGTACAGTTCACCCCCCTGAAATAATGTTACCTTTTCGGACGTGCACGATACAAAACAGGGCTTCGAATTCTGAATAGAACAACGCCCTTTAAAGCATCTCAACTACTATACCAGGGTTTTATAGCATAGAATATTCCGAAACAACGTTTTCAGAAAACTATAACGACCTCCCAGGGCGGCAATAGATATATGCTTCAGGATCTCGGCGAAGTAGCTCTAGGGGTCCGCTGAATAACATTATTACAGGGGGCGTACTGTAAATGCAGAATGAGGTACCTATAACTGAGCCTAAAATAGTGTAAATCGAGGCTCGGGCCTTTTCAACCGTCTCTAACACATGACATATATCGGATTACCTTTCTACCTGTAGTTATGCCTGAGTTTACAAGAGATGATATGTCCGACTAGCTTCCACGAATACGAAGTTCGTCTATACGCGCGATTCGAGGCTTTCTAGTACTAAAAGATTATAGATTTCAATATTTTCCCCCGTCTCTTGACTTATTAATACTGTATCACCCACACGCCAAGCTGAAAATCGCCTTTCGCTGAATTCAAGTAGCTTACGGCTGCACTCAGAGCAATACTATCCACTTGTAGCCTGGCCAAGACCGTGCGGTCTCTGATACTTACACTTGGCTTTTTCAAGCTCAGATGTCCAAGACTTTAGCCCCAACCTTGGTAGGTACAATGGAATGGATTGAATTAACTCGCGGTTTGGCGAAAGTTATCACCTAGGCTAATCGTGAAACCGCTCAATTTTCTCTTCATAGCTTTTATACTTCTAAAACGGGCCGATTCTGGGGTTATAGCAACGTGGTTCTCTATTAGGGTTGTGGTGACTCTGGATTGAGTTTCTATTTCTTAGTCGCTAGCAAATGTCTTTTTCATAGTCATCGTACTCTTACTTTAATTGTTCCAAAAGAAAAAAGTTCAAAGCTACTCTCAGCTCATGGTATAAATATAAGTATTAAGACCTGCCATCGCCCACCATCAGTCACAAGCCGCTTCTACAAATATCTATACCCAGTGCCCTTAGTATCCTCAAAATTCCTACTCAGGTATCCAGTCATCAAACTCCAACTACACCCTCAACAACGAGAAACATGGCAGACTCTCGGCGTTATCGCAGCAGGAGGACTTACTACACACTCAAGAACCAAATCCCTTCCAGGAGATCTGCCGTGACAAATTATTCCCCCATGGCCCCCGGACAATTCTCAAACTCACGGCGCTGGTTCTTTCTCATAGTACTTATCGTGGCCTCGACGCTCCGTCTTCTACGCGACCTCGATTCTATCGCTCAAACGCCCCGTGATAGAAAGGATCTAGGCGCCCTATATTTTCTATTTATTATGTTTTCATTCTTTGTGGTGGCCATTGATAATTTCATTGAAATAACGCCCGAAGACCAACACGCAACCGCCAGTCCTACTCAACCTCAACTGGCGGGCATTTTCGCCATATGTGTGTATATATTCTGCACTCCTTTTACCCCGTCTGCTTCATGGATGCATGGTGCTCTCTGGTGGTTCTGGGCCGCATATTTTGTCGCAAGATGGTGAGTAATTTGGTCATATATAAGCCTCCTTTTTTCTTATCCCCTTTCTCTCCCTTTTTATGTAAGGTGCCGGCGTTTTGAATATATGAACCCATAACACATATTTCAACGCTCTTGTTCTTTATTAAACTTCTAATCGCTAACCTTGAATCCCCTAGCAAATTTCTTGTTGTGAAGTTACTATTTAGTTTAACTAGGACTGGGATATGGTAAATTAATTTCGGGGAAAGGAAGTCTTTGGTGGACTAGGAATGCGTGCCTGTAGCTTTGGTGTACTTATGACTACATTCATTATCGGAGAGGGGCGGGCGGTATTTCATAGGGCGTCAGAAATCGTCTTGGGTATGGACATAATGTTGGCGATGTATATGTCAAGAAACAAGATAACTTTTACTTGGCTGACATTACCTAATGATATTGCCACCTTTAAGGATTGATATATCTTATGTATAATGACTAGGTTTGAAATAATTATTGAATACTAGAGGTTACCCCCCGGGCAACACAAAAGCCTAATGTTTACACCGCACCATATTTCTATACTATTTTTATTTCTATTATATATTAGCGACTGAGGGGTGTAAACGATGTTAATTGAGTAAAGTTTAGTATTACTGGGCAAGGCCCAGTAATTATTAGTATAGCTGGTAGTAATTCCGTAGTCCCACCACACACGGCCAAACTCCCTCGTTGGGAATAACCCAGACCCAGCGAAACAGGACCAAACGAGGTTATCGTAACTTATCCTAGCCCATCTTATATCCCTCTTGTACTTAGTTGTCTTTAGTCGTCTTTAACTACACTCGGTATACCCTTAGAATCACTTAATCTTAAACACACAATAACAAAACCACATACACAACGTTTCCAAGTGGCTTCCAGCATAGTTAAACCTTCTTTAGCTTGCCTATAGTACAATATTAACATAACCTACCCTTTATGAAACCGGAAGGCACCTTTACGATAGTTTACTGCTATTATACGGCTAAATCATATTTCCTATACCTTCGAAACCTAAGTAATAAAGAAGCCTTAAAATTATACATATTGTAAACCGTTTCCTTTTACCTTTTACTGCTTTTTATAAGGCAGGAAAATTATCTATAAGGTACCAAGGCATGTATCCCAAATAGGAAGTGTTTACTCGCATTCAACACAATATCCTATACCTATATATCCTAAACAATATCCCAAAGTAAACCTTAGGCATATAAAGTTATGCCTTGTCGTCGTTAAATTACCTTAAAAATACTGATACATCACGAAACAATAGCCTTTTAAATATTGTTGATGACGTCTGCTAGGGGCATCTAATCGGGCCTATGCCACGTACGAGACCCATGCTAAAAAAGGTGAATAATATTGTGCTAAAAAGATTTCACGTAAAAATACGACGATTCATTTTAAGGTGCAAGAGACCTGAGTGTATGATAGTGTCAATTTAGGAACTAAGTACGAGCTGTACTACCTATAATTTAAAGACCGCCTTATACATTGCCGAACAAGTATGATCATACTGGAAGTCGATTAAATATCAAAATAGCTCTTTACCTAGGTACCTACATACCCAATCAAACAAGTTGGGAGGGTGAATTAAAATACAAATACGTACTTTATCATTTTTCTTCTCGGGGCTAATAGGTGCCCAAGCCACACCAACGTCAAGAAAAAAGGAAAGTTCGAAGAGGCAGACGACGGGCAGGTGGCGAACTAATGACGACAGAGGTGATCAAAGCCACACAGGTGTTGGGCAGGTGGTAGGGCCATAGCGAAAAAGAGTGGCTCGAGCTTAAAAACTTTTCAAATTGAATTTTCTACCGTTAAAATCTTAATTTATAACATTCTCTCTTTTAAACACCCCCATAGATCGCGCTAACTTTAATTCAACCATTGGACGGGCGGCCGAACTCGCCTAACGTCTGTACGCTTTACACCACCACCAATAATCGAATACGACAAATGCTCGAACTACATGTGATAGATACTTACCTATTATACATCTCCGCTATGATGGTAAATGTTGGTGGTCTTCACCACCTTGTCTAAACCCCTCAGGTAATTTTCAGGGGAACTTTCACGAAGTAAATAAGTACTTGGTGGCCTATATCAAACGCTGGTGCGAGGCCTGGCGTCCTCGGAATTTGAGATCAATTGGAAATCAATAAGTGAATATAAGAGATTTATCGTACGATGTTTCACCGGCAACTACTTTATGGACATACTAGAAACGTTTATTTACCGTACTAGCGAGGGCGTAGAGATAATTGCTCAGACCCTCGAATCGAGTACATGGCACTATACAGCACGCCCACACCCGAGGACATAACTGAGATTTTCTCAACCTATTCGTAGAGTCAATTGTAAGATATTTTTAATTTGGCAAGCCTGACAATTCTCCATGCTAGGTGACGGCCAGGTGAGCTTTCTGTAGTCCGAAGCTTCCTATTCGTCTTCACATTATATAGCTTGAAATATTACTTTTGTGGCTGGAGTTACTTGCATATAGTTATCGTTGGCTCGAAACATACTTTCTGGTTTCACGATGTATAAGATTCTGATAGCGAGTGGCTTAGTCGATTCGTTTGAGAATAACCATTATTACGTAGACACATAAACACATTATCCTATATTGCTTATATTAACCCGAACTCTATGGGTCTGATGGCATTGATCTTGTCGTATGGATGTTCTCCCACACCTTGAACCGAACGAGTTGAGCACCGATCTCCACCTAAATGCCCAAGTAACTTCTATTCTACGTTGACGACTCGTTTGACACTATTTAGGCCGCTATTATGCTGGGTGGTCGGGGTAAGCAAGCTAACAAGAAGTTTCACGTCCAAGCAACGCCAAACTAACCAGATATACTTTCGAAATACACAGTGAGTGCCAAGATATCAGGTTATTCTAGTCAAATCACCGTTATGTCTCTAATCTTATGAAAGCCCGCCACATCGTACACGTAAGATGCTAAACCTTACTATTGCTAACCCGTCCATTCTCGCTGAAGAGACTGAGAAAGCCCATATAAGACCTTGCCCATCCCCGAATTTTTCGAGGTGCCATATTTCCTTTCTATCTACCAGGTTTCCACAGAGCACTCATAAAGACATCTCAACGGAAAATCTATCAGCATACCCATACACACACACACACACACACGAACACATCAAACTCTATACAATTTCTAGCTATCCTATATTTACCACGTTAGCTTCTAAAGCTTTCATTCAAAATGGATCCAATTTACGACATCCCCGGCACCGCCAACCAAATTCACAACATCCGCAGCACCTTCAACCACCTTTTCGGCGAAGAGCCCACACTGGATGAACAGCGTCAATTCTATCGGGAAACTTCGGAACGTGCGGTAGCCCATGCCAATGCCAATCCTCCGCCTCCTCCTGTTGCTTTATTGTTCCAAAATAACCACAGCACTCCTCTCCTCCCTGTACCCGCCCCGGAGAATAACACCTTAGTTGACAGTAGTGTGGTGGAGACGACGGCTGGCAATCCCGACGATTCCAGCCGCCTTGCTGAGTCAATTCAAAAGTTAATTCAAAAGATTGATGAAGCTCTAGCTCGGATGGAAGCCCAGATGGAGCAGCTGCGCGAAAACGGACATTTGGCAGGGCATTAACAGATACCATACGGGAATGGGTTTTTAGGGAGAGATATCATACGGGAATGGGTTTTTAGGGAGAGATATCGGGTAGGGAATTCGTAGGATAATTTCAAGTAATCAATATAATGTATCGAGACCTCAGCAATGATCTAAGCCAATACCCCTGACCCGTGGCGTAGTCACTACTAACCCAAATACCTTAGGAACCCAATACAGGTTAGATTCTTCAGCGTGAGAGTCTACTTTCTCACAATAAATAACAAAAACTGGAATGGAGGGATTAAACGCAAAAATACAAAAATAAAACGTACAACACCAGGGATTCGCTGGTCGTCACCGACCCAACTACTAGTCCGGCGGTATTTGGCTTGTCTAGGGGAGAGCGGACGGGATCCCGAATTTTCCAAATCCTATGGTCGTACGTGGTGTTTTATGTTGTTACTGAGACCTATATCCCTTCCTTTCCCTGGTTGTTGTAAAATCTGTTATAGCAGCACCAGTTGACGTTTTAGACTAGGTATCAATTGAAGGATACTCAGTATAACCTCGAATAACCCATGGATAAGCCACATATGCTGAAGTGTCGTATCTCTACCTTCGGCCGTAGGCTCTAGAACCCTTCGTAACACAACCATTGGATGAGGGGTTAACCATTCTTACCGGGCTAGTCCGGAGCCCCGGTGATTTCGAAGGACGCCAAACAAGTCGCCATTGCCATCCACGCGTACGGTTATGGCTTATAACGCCAAGCGCATTACACCAAAGCATGCCTCTGACCTCCTGAACTCCGCATATGCCACTATGTAATCCTAATATATGCTTACGTAAACAACCCCTATTACCCCTATTAAACCACTACAAGAGATAAAACATAAAAACCGGCAAGGTAACGAGCCACACAATTACAATAATAAGAGCATATATCTATCTAAACTCATCATATGGCGTAGGTTTATTAACTTAAACAAAAACATCACTATAGTCTTTCCCAGTCCACTGTTTCACACAGTCATCCCATCCATATATCCTAGGTATCTCAAACATGATCCATAGCTAGGAAACACAAAACACCCATCACCTAACTCCAACTAGCTACCTCGGTACTTAACACATCATTTTCCAATCTAGAATAGAAAAAACAAACATCAGGCAGAATAGACATATCGGCGTCTCGTTTAACATCCCCCTCCGCCGCCACCACAACCTCCTCCACCTCCACCTCCGCCACAGCCGCCGCCGCCACCTCCGCAGCTACCACCGAGGCCGCCACAGGCCGCGCCCGAGGAGCCGCACTAGAAAGTGTGGTATTAGTATCCGGTCATAGGTTTGAGTAGTAGGAGGAGACAGACAAGAACTTACGCCACCACCACCTCCGCACCCTCCACACCCTCCACTTCCACCACACGCCCCACCCCCTTGCCCACAGGCTCCTGCCGCACATCCCCCTTGGGCACCCTGTCCAGCAACAGCCTCGCCGGGGGCACCGGTAGGGTAGCATCCGGGTGTGAAGTACATGGGATATAGGTATGGGCCGTACATCATATAGGGGTATCCCCAGTAAGAATGGTAATACTCCTCTCGGGGTGGGAGCTCGCGGCCCTTTCTATGGGCACGTTTCTGGGCACGCTCGTAGTTGCGGTTGAGGTGCTGCTGGTGCGTCTCGTGTAAGCGACGACGCACGACTTCGCGACTGGCGTTTACGTCGGTGAATTTAACGGCGTTGTGTGCGGAAATGTGCGCGCTGCTGTCGGGGGGACAGAGCGCGGCTTTGCCGGATTTGTGGAAGGTTTCGGAGACTAAGGGGGAAGTCAGCTTGGAAATAAATGATTTTATTATATACAGGGTAGCTATGTCAGTTTTTAGTGAGGAGGATGGACTTACCCTTCTCGTTTCTCGATATGTGTAGCTTACTTCCGAGGGAGGACACATGAGAAGCGCGGATCGACTCGCAGTACCAGCACGTACACTCCGAGTAAACCTCGCCGTAGGTTTCCTGATACACCTTGCTTGTCCACTCGAAAGCCGTAGATAGCTTGTCTTCGTCAATCTTGTCGTCGTGATCAATCAGACGGCGGGTCTTTATATACATAGACCTGGTATACATAAAAGGGCTGAGCTGATGTGTGTGCCATGCCAAGTCGACGTCGAGGGTCGGGACCACTGTTTTCAAAGGATTGCGGGCCATGATATCTACGAAGCGTTTGTATTTCCTCAGTAGTCGTGACATCGTATCCCGAGCCGTTGGGCTGTGGAGCCAGTCAATCTATAGGTAGTGTAAGCCTGTGACTTTGCGTGAAAAATATGACCTTCAAAATATCATAGACATACCTTGTTCATCTTTTCTACAAATATGCTCTGGCGAAGAACGGCGCCGCAAAGATCAAGAGCGAACAGGGAAGAGTTCCCGCAGTACCGCGACATCACTTTTCGGGTGTGTGCTTTGGCACCTATGCCGAGACGATAGCGTTTGGCTAAGTCACGCCCTGTAACACCCTCTATTTGCTTAACAGCGCTGTTGTTGCTTAATGTGCGCTCAATGAGGACGCGGACATCGCTCATCGTTGGTGCTGGTTTTCTACGAGGGTCAATTAATAGCAGTAGCTCGCTGCGAAGACGGAATCTGATAATTCTGTTTGGGAATGTTCGCTCTTGCTGGCGAGCGTCACGAACCTCTCGCGGTAGTCCCGTTTCGTTTTCTAATATCGTACCAGGCATTGGGCGGCCATGGGAGAGAAGCCTCTGTGAGTCTTTAACAAATTTGGCTGCCTCGAGAAACTCTCTCGTGATGGTTCTTCCGCATTTGGTGCACGTGTGTTTAAAATTTCCATCTCCATAACCCTCTCCAAGAAGACCAGGGTCTTCGCCGGTAAATTCTTCGGGTAGTTCGCACGTTGTCCACGGTATCTTAAGGGCCTTGGAGCAGCTAGGACATTTGAGTACTTTGACCATTGGGTCATCAACATTGTCCCATTTCCGGCCTATAAGATGTTCCCATGCTTGCTTGCATTCGGGCGAAACGTTATAGTTGAAGCTGTCATCGATTGCATTGTCAATGAGCTGCCATGGCATGCCGGCCGTCCATAGACCATTCAGGCAGTATAGTATAGAATCCTCAAGATATGCTCTTGGGTTAAGCATGTGAGCATGCCAGACCATTAAGATGTCTAGTAGAATTAGTGATGCTTTTATATACTCTCATTGTGGATTTGACGTACCTAAAGGCGGAAGTATATGTTCGGCCCATTGGAGGGGTATCCCTCTGGACGTAAATGTACCATATATTGCAGTGGCGGATTCTTCTCGGTAGTTGCCTTGCATATTTTTCTCTGTTAGATGTTTCTTAGACAGTTTAGTCCACCAGGTTTCGTATCGGTCCACCGCCCTCGCTACAAAAAGCGCCCATCGCTTCTCTCGGAGTCTAGCCAAACGCTTCACGGTCTCTTCTTCAAGCTTCTGCCCGTTTTCAGCAGCTTCGGGCTTCGTATCCTTCTGTATGAGAACGCGGTCATCGAAGAGACCCCAAATGCCATCTGTGTAGCCCACGTCCTCCTTTAAACTTTGTAAGGCAGCAAGTAGCTTGAGATGTACCAAGCAAGTATCGGGCGTTATGTTTGAATCCCAAGATGATATTTCAACGGGTTTGGGAGTAAAATTCAGAAGATGATCGAAAATGGTATTTAACTCTTCATTTGACGATGTTGGAGCTTGGTCAGGGAATATACCACCATTTCCGACATTATAGCTAGGTGGTGCTTCATTACCCTCTCCATCCGACAGTCCAGATATTGCGTTGACGTTGTTTGGTTTCTCCATGATATAATAGCAGGATGTCACGAGGTAAATCAAGGCATAAGATAAATCGGGAAATAGGAGACTTGAGTGGTAAACAGTAAAAGCGTGTGGCGATGAAAAGACTAAATGGGGGAGCGGGAGCTATGCTTCATGAGAGATAGGTAATTGATAGATGTTAAATACTATTTGTTCATTCCCGCTTGGACTAGAATCATAGTTCCGAGTTCATAGTTCCAAGGTCAGTTCGAAGGTCATAGTTAAGTTAAAGAGTAAGTTTATAAGATGCAAAAGGTTTCAGGGGGGGCATCACTCGAAGTTAAATGCACGGGCGGAGGTCAAACTGTGGCTTAAGTATTGGTAGTTACTGCCTTTCCTCGCAGGATTCTACCTAAAATAATACCGATTTTGCTCCCGTAGGCTCACCTTTCTACGCTAATGCGCCATCACAGCGCGAGGCGTTCTGCATTTAATAAAGCTTATCAAACATGAGTTGGGGTATTTGCCTAGGTAGGTACTTGGTAACCATGCACATGCCCATTGCCTTTCTCTAAGCTACTAAAGGTTCCAAGGTACTTACATGTACCTTCTAAAACAGAGTTGAGTCAGGTAGGCACGGTTGGGGACGATACCTAGGTATGATTGGTAGAATCACCCGGTAGCACTCACAAGATGACGCGTGGTGGTTACACAAAATATATTACGTAAGGACACCAAGGACTAACCTACATAGTGCTTTGACCCTGTACATAACTTTGACCCAGCTATGCGTTCCAAAAAGCTTAAAAAACATCCCTTCAGTTGCCCTATCGATGTAGCCTGAGGGGGCGTTCTAAAGATTATGACGTTCAATTCCATTCCTTATAACTACCTCCTATTAAGACTCTCTGTCCTGTATAGGTAGATACGTCATTTGGCTCAAGTTTAAATATCTAGGGGCTTTGCGCAACTCTTCCCAACGATCGGCGATTACCCTCCGCAGTTACCCCGGAATGTAGAATACAGAATCCCGGGGTTGTGGGGATCTTTCGAAAGCTTCTATGCACTACTAAACTTTTAGCCCGTAAACTTTGACATTTGAAGAAACCCATATGTATTACGCAAAATTTAAGGCGCGGCTCTAATTCGGCTTGGCAAGACAAAACAAGCTTCCACCTTTTGGAATGAGAATGCGACACTATTTTTCCTTGAAACAATATGAGGTTGTGGTTACTGCAGACTGCAGACTGCAGTGACACCATCGATCATAATATCTCGTCCTATCCCGCCTTGTCTTGCCACGGGGGTTGGTCGTCTCGGATCAATGCTAGCGGCCTTACAGAATGTTGAAGTAGGTACCTACATGTAACCAGAAAATGATTTCTACCTACTTTCCCGATCCACGGTCAATAAAACCAAGGCATGGAAAACGTGTTGAGACCCAATCTGTCGCCGTCCCTACGAAGCCAAACATTTAGCCCGACGGATCTCGGTGACGCAAATACAAAATCTCCATGCATAATATGTCGGTAATTGTTATTAGCCTATCGGCTTGACGCTTCTGGTTAATAGTAGAAATATTTAAGGATATGATGGCGTGGACGCACGGGGATGCTACGATATTAGAACAGCCCTATACTCTCCTATTAATACATACCTACCTAGGTACCTAAGGCACCTCATATGAAACCTGGGGGTTGTACAACATTAACGGGACTGCCCGACGATTACCTAGAGATGGGTCATGTCATACTAGCCAAGATTAGCCCTGTCTCCCGTCATTCCCCTAGAATTCGAAAGTGCGATCACAGGTGACAGAATCAAGGGTTGTGGAAAGTTCTTCGTAAATTTCTAATTTATTTAATTTTGTGAGGATTGTTAAGAGTTATTCTCTTGTTGTCGGTTGACAAGTTATAGGGTAGTGTAGTCAACACCAATAAGGAAATAAGGAAATGATACGAATAAGGAAATGAGGCTATCACGATGATTGTTGTTGTAGATGTTGTGATTATTGTGTGTAGGTGCTACCCCGCGAGATTAGTGTTTTGTGTGTGGACTGATCCACGGATAGCACGTGACTATATTACGTAATTCCAATATCCCAACGCCTCAGCACCTGTCATGGACCTAACTTGGAACACTTAAGGCACCAGCCACAATGCCACCACAGCCACAGAAATCACATCCAAAATTAAGGGGCTAAACCTACAATTAAGGAGTAAGACGTTACTGTGAATAGCTTCATTCTTAAATCGTGAACTCCTGTGTATTAACCATTTATCAACCTACAGTAGTACAACTTGATCTATCATGCAGACTCTATATGTATTTTATTTATTATTCATTTAAGAACTAGTGTAGACTCGAAGAGGATCAGGGTAATCATCAGAAATCAGAATTAGGTAGGTAGGTCCACTAGATTCCTACGGCGACAGCGTCAAGTCTTGTTCACTAATTATCAGGCTCAACTGTTTTCACCTATAGGCTTATCGTAGTCATTTGACCTGGTCATATAAGGATCAGCTACGGGATTTATATTATTTAAATTTGGTATCGAAGAACTTAAGAAGCGCCGATGTAGAGGAGCGGCTTGAGTAGTTTACGATAGCATAAGCATATCACATAAGACGAAAGTGTTGCCGTGAGACAGGTTCAATTGACGCAATCTATATCCTGTCCAGTTCCCGAATGATGAATCCTATCAATACATTGAACCACCCACCGCCCCTTATCAATGTATTGATCTCCCAAAAAAATACCTTAACCGCCCCCCCTCAACTGGTTGTTTCCCAAAAACAAAATTTCCCAAAAGCAAAATGCCCCAAAACATGAGGTATGACTAAACAAGAGGTATGGCTAAACAGAGTTAAAGTATGACTAAACTCCAATACCATGCTCCAATAGGCGCCATTCATCGCAATCTGCATTCAAAAACAAAACATTCCCACAACTCCAGTATGGTCCGCGATAACCCACCCCCTCCCCATATAGTCGACGTGTCAGTGAGGGGCGTAGACGTGGATAATGACACTCGGGGCAAGGTCACTGGGAGGGATGGGGAGCTGGGGGGCTGGGAAGGCGAGGGATGTTTGCTGCCATGTCCTCTACTATCTCGTCAATGGGGTTCTCCCAAGGATAGTCGAACATGTCAAACTTGCCTCTGACGCTGTCCGAATCATGCTCGGCTCTGGTGCTGTCGAAATCCGATACGTTGTTCTCGGCCGTCGAAGAATTTGAAAAGCTCCGAGAACTTGAAGGCGCCTCACTCAAAGAAGCGCAGTGGTGGGAACTCGGTAAGGCTTGCGAAGACTTTAAAGGAACCTGGGAAGGTAAAGAATGCCCAGCCCCTACCTGCCTACCTACCCATATCGCGAACCATTATACAAATAAAACCCAATAAATATCCGTTAATAATTCCGAAAAAGTGCCCAGCCGCCAAGCTTTCTTCGTCGGCGTCGTCGGGTTAAATCGAATTTGCGCGACTTCTTAGTTAAGGTCCCTGTATTATGTTGTGTTATATTGGAGAGTTACAAAGATTGTCGACGTATCAGTAAGGGGCGTAGACGTGGATAGTGACACTCGGGGCAAGGTAGCCAACTTTGATCAGGGGAAAAACCGTCGAACACGCCTTTTTATAACGGAGATGGAATCACCTTCAGCGCCCAGCGTGCCTAAGGAAAAAACCTGAGTCAGACCAGTTTGGTTTGACCACAGTGGGATTCGAACCCACTTCAACGCTATGAAGAGAGCGGCCTTTGCACCGGGCTAGAAGGGTAGAGACTCAGCCAAAAGATGTGTATCTATGGACGAAAAGACCTTACATAGAATAAGACAAAAGTAAAAACTCGCTACAGAAAATAAATCACTCTCACGAGGTCTGGATGATGGATTATGTTGCAAATTCTAAGATCTGGGCCAGGTGGGAGAAGAAAAAAAGAAGAAAAAAAAAAGAGCCCATTAAGCGGTGTCGGATGCGCCATGTGAGTGGTTTATGGTAGTAAACAGTTGATCCAGAAAGTTCTCTAGCAAGTTCTCAACATTTACTACTGCCACCACTCGGCCACCTTCCTGCAATGGGTACCAGTTTGGATGTTATGATGGAATATAAGGTTTACTCCTGAGGTGCAAGTGCAAGTGTACGTGTAAGTACTGCCGGCCCGTTTCAGGTACCTAGCAACTGGCTGGCTGGCCCATTAAATATTGGTTTCATGGTGGTCAGTGCGTTAGTCTGTAGCTTAACCCTTTCGCTCATTTAAAAGAAAATTTCTCTTGAACGCTTTTTAAACTTAACATTTCAGCTCTAGCATCTGCATCTAAGATATTATCGACAATACCACTCATTGGTACCTGTTAAGGTAAATACATGAGCAAGAAAGATGCGTTTCAACTAGGTTTGTATTGTATCTTCTCATTTTATTTTGAATTTCACGCCGCAGCAGACCTTACTCCAGCCACTCGAACCATCCTACGAGTCATTCATCCGAATGATCTTTCTTCCGTGATGCGTCTTGCGTCGTGGTCCTGAGAGGGCTTGGAGATATAGGGCAGACGATGCTTGCATCGTCTGTATAGCTAATTAGCTGCAAGAATAAAATCAATTCCTATGGACCATCATAGTCCACGCTCATCTTGTGCTTTACGTTACAGTCTTCCACATGAGCGAGGCTCCAAGCGCTCCGACATACAAGTCTCTAGCATGAGACAGGGTAGCGCGGTGCTAAGTGGGGTTATTTAACCCAGTATGGCTAGTAGGTAGCTTTGCATACAAATTTATATATAA